CGGAAATCACTGGCAAGAATTAATTTGCCGGTACAAGAATTATGGCGTGATGAATGAGTTGATGAATTAATCATTTCTTTATATACAAACTGATCTTAAGCTTTTGGGTTTATTTCACATCAAACTCAAGACAACTTTGAGCAAATAGTGTATAAATAGTATCTAAATTCATTCTTATTCTATTTTTATGCAATAAAAATAAAACGTACTTCAATTAAAAAGCCTTGGACAAACTATGCAAAAAAAACTATGCATTGTTTTCTCTCAAAACACCTGATGGAGTTTAAACTTCACATCAGTTTGCTTCTGTTTCACACAAATACCGGCACAGACCTGCATGTTCGGCCAGATTCGCCTTGAACTCGTGCATCTTCGGAAGCGGAGCTGTGCGGAAAGTTACAAAAAATGCCGTGCACACCACCACGCAAAATGAGGTCGCGCGCACTCAAAGCAAACTTGCGCCAACACCGCAATGACGTCATATTCCCTCCCACAAACACTACAGGTGAATGATGTGATTGGTTGCAGACCAGTGTTGGGCAGTAACGCATTACTTAGTAACGCGATACTGTAATTTGATTACTTTTTTAGTAACGGAGTAATTTAACGTGTTATAATTTTCAAAATAGTAATAGAGTATAGTTGCAAGCCAAGGTCTCTATACGTTACTTCCGCGTAACATTGCTGACAGAATGCATGTGTATTATAATCTAGATTGTAAAAAGGGTAGCCAGATTCGCCTTGAACTCGTGCATCTTCGGAAGTGGAGCTGTGCGGAAAGTTACAAAAAATGCCGTGCACACCACCACGCAAAATGAGGTCGCGCGCACTCAAAGCAAACTTGCGCCAACACCGCAATGACGTCATATTCCCTCCCACAAACACTACAGGTGAATGATGTGATTGGTTGCAGACCAGTGTTGGGCAGTAACGCATTACTTAGTAACGCGATACTGTAATTTGATTACTTTTTTAGTAACGGAGTAATTTAACGTGTTATAATTTTCAAAATAGTAATAGAGTATAGTTGCAAGCCAAGGTCTCTATACGTTACTTCCGCGTAACATTGCTGACAGAATGCATGTGTATTATAATCTAGATTGTAAAAAGGGTGTAGCACACACACTGTCGAGTCCAGTGCCAGTGGCAACAGTGCGGCGCGGGACAAGATGGGCGAGTGCGGGTGAGGGAGGTAGACACTCGTGTGTGTGCGGGATGCGGGAGAATAAAGTGATTCAGGGGACTCCCGCAAAATCGAAATATCTAAACATAAAATATCTAAAACAAATAAATTGTTATTCATCTATTGCACAAAAGCAACAAGAACTAATATAAAATAAAAAACGATAAACAGGTGCAAGCGTAGGCAGAGTTTCTATTTAGGCTGTAACACATGTTAGCTGCATTGAGCAATGTTGATTCCTGGAACGCAATGGCCAGTCAGGAGTGCAGTGCTGAAATGTGCATGCTCACAAATCCTCTCATTATAACACATGAATTGTAGCCATTATGAAAGATTCATTATGCATATATTAATTGTGTTATAACAGAGCTTTGTGAGATTGCAGTGAACTGAGATGTCATCTTTTTAGAGATTGTAAAAGCAGCGCTATTTGCTGCCATGTACGCAGCAGCCTATGCTTGCTTTAGTTAAAAATAACAGTGTTCTGTGAATGTTGATGCTTTAATAACAAATATTTATCTGGAGTGTTTATGCTGGGAATTCATGTAAATGAAATTCATGAATGTAGCCACAGAAAAAAGTAACGTAACTAGTAATGTAACTAATTACTTTTGAAATAAAGTAATCAGAACAGTAACGTGATTACTTTTAAAAGGAGTAATCTGAAAATGTAATTAAATTACTAAGTAACTTGCCCAACACCGTTGCAGACCATGGGGCAGATGTAAAAAAATATAGTTTAACCAACAATTGTTTTGTTTGTTTATTATGGGAATATAGTAAATAGCATGCAAAACATATAAACAGTCAGAAAACTATTTCAACAAAAGACAACATTTAAAAATACAACATCTACTTTGAATGAAGATTTCAAACAAATGCAGTAAACAACACATGAAATGATGTGTCCCAGCAGACTCCATTCCTCACTGTAGATCCTGTGTGCATCCACATCAACAACAGTATCTTCCTCATCTTACACTGAGCTCCGCCATTTCTGTCCTCCACAATGCTCTTTCTGTGTTTATCTCAACAGTAATGCTGACAATAATCACTACAGGCTAATAGCCTATTTAGGAACTTAACATCATGTCAATTTCTAAACTTACTGTCTCTCTTTGACATTTTAGCCACAGCTGTGATTTGAGTGTTTCAGCTGGGCCTTTCCGGAGTGAAACTATAAAGACTTCTTCCTCATAGCCTCATCATAAGTCTTATGTTTAGTAAAGGAAAAATATTTAATTGAATAGGTGAAACAATACAAAAATGGATAGTAAAACATTGCAATAACCTTCTGAACATATGTTACCATTTAAAATATGTCTCGTGTGTACTGGATACTGTAGAAAATAGGAAACATTATCTGAGAAAAATTAAAGTATAAATATAGTTTTGCCATCAAGTCTGTCTATGAACTTCTATGAACTCACCACCAGAGGTGACCTGCTCACCACATGGACTCTCACACTACACAGACTGTTAAACTATATCCTGGACTACATTTTCCATCATCCATTGCACTGATTACACTCACAGCTGTAACCAATCAAACACCCTGCATATGCCATGGACTTCCTCTCTCTCACTGCCGAGTATTGTATAGCGTTTATCACTCTCCTACTAGCAATAGCTGCTCTACGGAGCCAGTTTCTATTTTTTATAGTCTAGTCATAGTCTTGCCTTGCCTGTTTTCTCGTATTCTGATTCTTGCCTGTGTTTCTTGGAAAACCCTTGTCTCGCCATTCAGACTCTGACTGACTCAAGCCCGTTTTGGATTGCTCTTGTCTCGTCTGTGCCATACCTGTTTGCTGATGTTTTGACCCTGCCTGCTTCCAACCATGTCTCTGAATAAAGTTATGCGTATGGATCCACACGTCTCTCGTCTCGTTCGCCACTTTACAAAGTCAAAGATATTAGTTTTAGTTAATTAATTAATTAGTATTTTTTTAATTAATTTAATTTGTGCATTTAGCAGACGCTTTTATCCAAAGCGACTTAGTGCATTCAGGCTATACATTTTTTACCAGTCAGTTTTACACAATATAAGTAATCAGTCTTACCAGGTTTGTGTATGTTGTTGAAGTGGATTCTTCCCAGAACTATGCAAGCTTACAAATGTTTCAGTCTTGTAATAATTTACTTAGTTGTAAGGGAATTAATCATTATTAATAGCTGTTGGTGTCTTCAAGAAGTGTGACTTGCGATCAGGTCAAACACATAAGTCTTCGTAGCAGGGGGTGGGGTGTTTGTGTGTGTGTTTGTGGTGGTGGGAGGGGATCATTTATGAAGAGTTGGATATATGGGAGACCAGGGCTATTTGACACACTTTTTACATAAAATATTTATCAGGGGAGATATATTTTGAAAGTATTGCTTGTCTATATGCAATTTATAATTATAATTATATAAATACTCTTTGCTAGACTTGACTAAACATAACTATTAGACAGTATCTATAAATCGTACAACATATGTTCTCTAATGCCTCTGTCAAAAATAATAAGACTAGCTATGTTTGAGTTCAGTATTATTAAGACAATTTTGTGAAACTTCCCTGGCTCACCAACTCCCTCCACCTGGGAACACAGTAAGCACCTTAACTGCTCATTAACATATGAAAAGTCTGACAGCCACCAATCCTCACAACCAGCAGCGTTTCAGCTGTATATGTCCATGAAACTTCACAGATTCCTGTATATGTCCGTGTACACCAGAGTATGTGGGTATTTCTGGTAATGTACTGTCCTGTGTAACTTGGCTCAGGTAATTTCCACATACATCTGGCAAACCTGAAATTACACTGCAGTTTAACATGGCCAGATATTACCAGATTTGACCCTTTTCGTGCAGTTTTAGCTCAAACTGGAAATGTATTTTTAATAATCACAACCAATTATAATTAATTACATTTATTTATACCAGCTGCCAGAAGTAACTGTAGCAAAATTAATATTACACTCAACTAATCTGTTTGTCCTGTGAACATTCAGTGTAATTTCATAACACCTCTAGAAAGGCCAAGTTCTGTCATGAAATTCTAGATGGCACAGGCTGATGGGTTCATGTTTCATACACAGCTAACGAGCTTACTGCTTTACTTTTAAATGGCTGGTTAGCGTTCACTAGAGCATTTTGCTGCGCGCTTTCAGAGTTCCTCTGAAACCCTCCACCTTCCCCAGCTCCACCTGTATAGATCTGCTATGGGGTTATTTTATATGCTATTTGTGCAGCAGCAGTATGTCTTAAATACTCACAGCACCATATCGGCTTATGTATTGGCAGTAGCAAGTTCCTGTACTTGCTTTGTACCTTCTTACAGTACTAACGCATTAGAGCATGTAGCAAGATCGGCTTGCTAAAGTGACTTTGTTTTGTAAGCAGTGACAGAATCAAAACTCATGCAATTGTGTTGCAGCTCATTTAGCTCGTGAAGTTTATCTGGTTGCTGTGGTAATAAGGAATCTGTTCTTCCCTTTTGGGGTTGTTTGGCATTTGGGAGAGGGTCCCACAGAATCTCATGGTTAGCTTGTTGGTTGAGGGGTGTTGGATTATTTGTTAAATATAACAAACAATAATGTGTCTGATATGTCCAGCTGTTACAATAATAACAACAACAATAATAATAATAATGATTGTTATTATTATTATTTACATGTTTTTCTAGTTATAATTATTTACTTCGTATGAATAATTATTCACTTATAATTAATTTACGAGCTTATTTTATTTAGTACTCTAGTAGACTAATAATTACTTCATAATTGTTGCATTCCTTCTGGTACATTTATGGACATTTCTGCTTCTCTGTCGGTTTCAGTGAGGACGTGTGTAAGAGGGGTTTCACTGTGATCATTGATATGCGTGGCTCTAAGTGGGACCTGATAAAGCCGTTACTGAAGACCCTGCAGGAAGCGTTTTCAGCTGAGATCTGCGTAGCTCTCATCATCAAACCAGACAACTTCTGGCAGAAACAGAAGACCAACTTTGGCAGTGCCAAGTTCACTTTTGAGGTAAAAATGCAGTTATTCAGTAGTAGTCTAGTCCTCTGATCCTCTCTCTTGTAGTGAAGATACTGCAGACTGTTATAATTAATTTATGGCTCACATCAAACAACAGGCAGGCTGTCCTTACTTTCACCCTAAACTGACATGTCTGTTTCTACCTTCTCACTGACAGACTAGCATGGTATCTGTGGAGGGGTTGACCAAACTTGTGGACCCATCTCAGTTAACGGATGACTTTGAGGGATCTCTGGAATATAATCATGAGGAATGGATTGAGCTCCGTGTCGCTCTCGAGGAGTTCCTGGCCAGCGCCATTCACCTTCTCTCCCGCCTGGAAGATCTGCAGGAGATGCTGGCTAAGAAAGAGTTCCCGGTGGACGTGGAGGGCTCTCGGAGACTCATCGATGAGCACACTCAGCTGAAGAAGAAGGTGATGAAGGCTCCGGTGGAAGAGCTGGACCACGAGGGCCAGAGACTCTTGCAGTGTATCCGCTCCAGTGATGGCTTCTCAGGGAGGAACTGTATTTCTGGAAGTGCCGACTTCCAGAGTGTGGTTCCGAAGATCGCCAGTCTGCTGGATAAACTCCACAGCACCAGACAGCTCCTGCACCAGATGTGGCACCTAAGAAAACTGAAGCTGGATCAGTGTTTTCAGCTCCGATTGTTTGAACAAGACGCAGAGAAGGTAAGCGAGCACTGGTTGAACCTGGTATGAGTTGACAAAATTATGGCTGTTTACTGTGTAAGCCAGTCAGTGTGTGAGTAATTGAGAAAGTAAGTAAGTGAGTAATTCAGTGAGTGAGTAAGTAAATGAGCGAGTAATTCAGTGGGTGAGTAATTAAATAAATAAATAACAAGTTGGATTAGGTGAAAAGATACAGTTATGCTAAGGAATAATTTACCCCCAAAAAATGTCCCAAAAACTGGTTTATTTCAATCTTTTCCCCAATGAATTTAGATCACCAATATGTTTACAAAATGTATACTTGTCTTTGTAATGAGACTGACATTTGGTGCAAGCTCAGTTTTGTTGCTGATTTATTTTAAAGACTGATCCTGAAAAAAAAGGCAAATCAGATTTCTGACTCTAAATTTCAGTCTGATTTTGTTGTAAAAGGATTTTGATGAATGCATAAAAGTGCGTTATAAACTGCAATAACAATTTATTTAACATTGGTATTTTGTATAGTATCATATTATTTTTAAAGCAAAAAGCCGCTCAAGGTCGGACTCATACTTCACATCATGCCTTGAGTGCTTTGTGTGTATTTCTGATTTCTGGTTACCCATGTAAAGCCTGGCTTTAAATAATAATAGTCAGACTTAACATAAACATTGAATATGAGAAACATTTAAATGTTTTTATGTTTTTGATATTACATGCAATTTGGTGGAGTTGCTGGTATTTATACAGTTTGGCCAAAAATTAAGATAAAAGTCTGATATAATTGAATAATAATAACAGATATAATTAAATAAAATCAATAACAGTATATGAGATTACTTACATAAAATGGATATAAATAGCAGTTGTCACTTTATACCTGCCATTAATATGTCTTAAAACGACGATATTTAAATGCTTTGATTTATGATCAAAGATATGTAGTTTTTATTGTGGGGGACAAAACATATAATGCAGTGCAATACAGAGATGAATGAAAGATGTACAACATTCCTTTAAAAGCTTTTCATATTTTATGCTCAGATTCAATTAAAAAAAGTTGCTTTAGTCTAGTAAGTATTCATCTTGAGATATTACTAACAATATAAAAGTTGGTCTTATATTTATTTCATAAAAAGCATTAAAGATTTCACAGCCACAAGACAAAGTCTAAAGGGGGACATGTTTTAATTATACTGAAATGCCTTTTTCTTGCTAAAAACATTTAATCAGTCAGACGACAGAAGACATGTAGCAGATTGTGGGCAACAGTTTTTCCAGCGAAGTTCTGATCATGTTGATAATGCAGAGCGTGAAATTGTAGGCTTTATAGGGTTACAAGTGTGACCTCACACTAACTCCACCCACTTCATGAGAGCAGTGAGTTTACTCAGATTCAATTAAAAAAAGTTGCTTTAGTCTAGTAAGTATTCATCTTAAGATATTACTAACAATATAAAAGTTGGTCTTATATTTACTTTATAAAAAGCATTAAAGTTTTCACAGCCACAAGACAAAGTCTAACTATACCCTGTTTTAATTATACTGAAATGCCTTTTTCTTGCTAAAAACATTTAATCAGTCAGACGACAGAAGACATGTAGCAGATTGTGGGCAACAGTTTTTCCAGCGAAGTTCTGATCATGTTGATAATGCAGAGCGTGAAATTGTAGGCTTTATAGGGTTACAAGTGTGACCTCACACTAACTCCACCCACTTCATGAGAGCAGTGAGTTTGAGATAGACGTTCAGAGATAAGGTGAAGGGCCGGAGGGGCCGCTCACAGGGACCCGTCTGATGCTGAGTACCCATAAGTGCTTTGTGTTGATGATTTCATTTCGCTCAGAGCGCAGGCGTTTATTTTTATCTCCCACACACAACCTCTCACTCGTCGCCGGTGAACATGATTGAAAATCATTTGTCTGTCAATGAGCCAGGCCTTCTTGTGTCAAAAGGCAAAGAGCGAGCAGTCATTCTGCTAATTAATACCTCTATCCAACTTCTCTTAGAACGAGCCCAGACCTATTAGATTAAACCGGCCATTTAATGTAATAGGAATGCAGGCAGTCAACTACATTATCAATTATGCTGTCTCTCAGCTCTTATCTTGATTACAAGTGCAATTAATTTGCAGCTCTAATTAAATATTTATTTAGGACAGTTATTCGGTATTGGAGGATACATTGTTTGTAACTCAGAAGCAGTGGAGGCCATGGCGGTGAACCATGTGCACAGAATTTTAATGACTTTGGTATTTGCATATTTGTTTATTATTCATTATGTTGCATTTCCATCTATTAATTAAGGCATTCTTATGAATGAATTAATGCAATGCATAAAGCTTTGATGTGTAAAGTATGTACAGTTGCAACAGTATAAGATTTAGAATGGATTTGTGCATTAATTGGCAATACAATTTGATTGTCTTATTGTTTGGGCTCCAGGCCTATATGATGGGAATGACAAACTCTGACATTGACAAAAAGGTATTTATGATGCAGATTGTGTTAGAAATGTTGCTAGACGAATGTTCTAGCCAGTATAATCCTTTAAAAGGTCCTACAACTGATATCTGTGCTTTAGCGCAGCACATTATCAACACGTGGATTAATCTAAATTAGACGGGCTGTCATGACAATACAGCAAACCATGCTGATTGTACAAAATAATCCTTCATTTTTCCTTTCTAAAACACAGAACGCTGTTAATCCAATGATGTCTCCCTATATTAACACTCTTATCTAAATGCACTTGTCATTTTTTTATCTGTCCTTAGCCTGTCGAGTGTTAGTCTGTGTGTTTGATTAATTATGCATGCTGTCAAGTTAATAACAAACCCCCAACTGTGGTGGTATGTAAACTTCATAAAGGAATGGTGCAGGATTATATGTAATGATTCCTTCTGTTCTCGTCTCTGTGTAGATGTTTGACTGGATCAGTCACAATAAGGAATTGTTTCTTCAGAGCCACACAGAGATCGGCGTGAGCTACCAGCACGCTGTGGAGCTGCAGACTCAACACAACCACTTTGCCATGAACTCCATGGTATGTCATGCTGATGCTTGTGGAAGTCTTGTTTGCTGGTCTTGAATGCCACTACTTCTTAAATGAATGTTTAGAGAATTCATACGTTTTGTATGAGTTGGCGATTTCATATGTATTTGAACATCTATACCAAATCGCCAATTCCCTAAATCATAAAATACACTACTTAAGAATTGTCACAAGAGTGTGTCGTTCATACCATTGAAAGGGATAGTTCACGGAAAAATTTGAATTCTGTCATAATTTATTCACTCCTAAGACTTTGCGCTCATCGGAACATCAATATTGTCTCATCATATTTGTCCATGCATTGAAAAGACACACAACCAAAATTTTGTAAGAGTAAAATAAAAGTAATCCAAATGAAACGAGTGGAATAATCCAAATCTTCAGAAGAGACACAATCATCGTATTAATGTGTTTGCTTGACATACAAGAATCAGTGAGGTTTTTCTCGTGTATCAAGCAAGCTCATCGTTTAATATACTTGATGAGCTATTGGTACGTTCAAGTCATGTTGGAAAGATCTGGTTACGTATGAGTTTAATGAACATCGTCACCACAAGTCATGTTGGAAAGATCTTGTTACGTATGAGTTTAATGAACATCGTCACCACAAAGTCATAATTATAAGTATGAGTTTCTGAGTTGGGGATGTGTCAGTGAGAAAATATGTTGGACACAATGGATGCAGAGTTTCTTAAAAAAAAAATTTAAATTAAAGATTTATTTTGCTTTTATAATAAAAAAAATAGCATGTACAACTTATATTAGTATTGAACAATTATGCACCTTCATAAAAATAAAACATAAAAAAGCTAAAAGCACACACCTAATGCACATTCTTTATTAATTATTTTGTAGATGTAGAGTTAAAAAAATCTTTCTATAATTTCAACTTCACTGCTCATAAATACAAACCTCCCTGATCGACTTAAAACCTCCGTGATCGACTCAAATGTATATGCATTGATCAGTGTTTATATATGAATAAAAAGAAAACCCTGAAATAATTCTATTTATCAAATAAAGTGATTGTGTCTCTTTGGAAGGATTAAAGAAGGACTAAACAGTTTGATTCATATGGGTTACGTTTACAATGTTTATATGAACATTTCAAAGCTTTTGGCTGTGTGGACTGTCAATGGATGGACAGAAGTGATGAGAGAATATAAAAAATAGCATCATTTGTGTTCTAAAGTAAAAAATGACCGTGAATTTAACGATAAAAGACTGTAAAAATGCTACAGTAAAAACCTGTTAAATGGTTAACGGTAAATTCCCCTACTATATACGGTGAAAAACTGTATTGGACATTACATGTAATTTTACAGTAGTATACCGTTTTTGGAAGTGAAAAAGACCGTATAATTTACAGTTAATTACCGTAAATTGACATTCCCAGAATTTCAAATTTGATGTTTTTTTGTTTAAATAACTATGTTTCTTCTTATTTTTTTCTTATCTGTTTTGTATATTAGGGTTGTATGTTACACCTAATGTTGTTAAATGAATGTTTATTGCATTATTTTAAAGGGGTCATATGACGTTGCTAAAAATAACATTATTTTGTGTATTTGGTGTAATGAAATGTGTTTATGCGGTTTAAGGTTCAAAAAACACATTATTTTCCACATACTGTACATTATTGTTTCTCCTCTATGC